GTACTTATCTACCACTGCATCAGTGGATACAGTCTAGCTTTCGAGGCTTGTTTTAAGTTGCCTGCGACTTTTACTTGGACACAGGCAGCTAAAGCAAGTCTGGAACGCCACAGACACACCTACAAGTCCAGGCCTGAGCGAGCGCTGCCATGAGAAGAAAGGAAAATCCAGCTTTTACTCTGGGAGGAAGGGACATGGGGAATATACAATTTGTTAATGAATTCTGCAAGATTTTGTCCTCATTGTGCCAGAGGATAAACTTTGAAATTATATGTTACGGATACCTTTTGTAAACTAATAGGATAATCAGAGGCCTAGTCTGATGCAATCTGTTTTTACAAAGCCTGTGTGAACAGGGTGGGACTCGTATGTACAGACTTGCATGCTATAACTAAGTAGTTGAATAAACAAAATAACTTATTTACTTATTTTACTTATTTACCTATTGCATTTTTGTGTGTTTGCATTGTGCATGTCTCTGAACTCAGTCAGGTGACATGTTATGGAGAAAACACTAAAATAGATGATGATTAGCGAGCTGTTTATTTTCAGGACAGTCAACACAGAGGACAAAATATGCATATAAGTATGAATTAAAGGGTAAAGTGAAGATTTTCTGTTGGGTATATGTGTAATAAAATTTAATATCAAAATATTCACATTTCTGGTTTGAAAATATATATTCGCTATTTGTGAGGTAAAATTTGTGTTTTTTATTGGATTGATTTTCTTAAACTTTCTTGAATGATGATGCCTCGATATACCTTTTCAAAATCTCCACCTTTTCCAAGGGGGAAGCTCTGAGAATCCATGAAATCTGACAGAACTGAAAGTGAATTGTATTTAACTGATTCCTGCAGCTGCATTAATTAGCTACTTTATGTCACATATATAAGAAAATAAGAAAAACAAGATGCCAAACCACTTGACAGAGATGTACATCTGTCAGTGGCAGAACATATTCTCTATTAACATGTTTTTAGAATTATTTAAATGGCCTTTGCCTTGATTAGATCAATTTCAGTGGAGATGTAGACAAGAAAACATGCTTTGAGGAAGACACACAGGGGCGGATCCAAATAAATATTCATAGGGTAGTGAGATAGTGGCATGGATGCATAAAGGGGTGGCAGAAATATATGCTGATGTAATCTTAATATCAATATTTGTTTGGAATTTTTTATTTATTTCCAAAACTTCAGACATTTTTTTTATTTTATTAAACCACAATCACTTAGTCTAAAATGTGGCCAAAACAGACCATTAAATTATACATGTTAATTTATTAACACAATATTTGTAATCTAAGTGTGTTAAAATTTGATCCTTTAGATCCGCCCCTGAAGACACACAATAAATGTCCCGGCATCAAACCAGGGATGTTGCAGTAATACATCTTAAAACTCTTATCCATCTGGACAACACCTCCTTTTAGGTATTAATTAACAAACCATCATCATGCCAGGGTTTGGGCACACTCATAAATGACACAAATTTATTTTTCTAAGTTTATATTTGTTGCTTTTTAAATGCTCCAGAGTGCTTCAAAGCAGAGAAACAGATTTCAGATTGATCCTGGATTGATAAAATTGACTACAATTAGAAATGTGTGTGTTGATGTGATTCATGTCAATTTATGAAAAATGGCATTTAATCACAGTGTTGTGTTGTATCACCAACCCATGACAACTAAATTAAATGTTGAGTTGAATTGTTCTGTCTATCTTCTGAGATCTGAACGAACACAACTGATGGACATCTGGTATCCATCACCCTTATTTTAAAATAATAATGTAATAATTAGAATTTAGTCTTTACTAACAGACAGTGGTCAACTTGTTTACAGTCCGAACCAGAACAGGGCAGGTCCTCTAAATCTTCCCACTGCCTCTAAAAAACACAATAAAAATATGAGTGGACATGATAAGGTCAGTGAGCGTGGTTAGAAGCCATGGTTTTAAAGTTACAACCTCATTACCCTCAGATTGAGGCTATATAACCTTAAACCCACAAACAGAAGGTTAGGGGGGGATGAAATGTTCTTGTTTTCTCGTGCGCACTGAAGCGTGTTTTTCAAGGTAAATATTCTTTTCCCAACATGAAATAGGTCTTTGTTGTTTGCCGAGAGGTAAAGAGGCGGAAAAGTGAGGAGGATCTGAACTGGTTTCCATGTCAAACACTTCAATTCACCATAGAAACTCAGATCTTAACGCGGAAACTTTATTAAACTGCGATGGTGGATTGATAAGGGCCGAATTTCTATCGGCCTCTTTTTATTGTGGGCACCAGGCGGACTGACAGAGGTAAATTGCTCTTTTAATTAAAGCAATGCACCAGGGGAAATTGCTGTCTGAATATTGTCTCAGAGATGGGGGCCAGTGACAGTTGCCTGGAAACTTCAATCTGTCCACCCGCATTTATTCCAGATCACAGTTATGAGATAAAGTTTAATAAAAATCTTTTCCTCCGCCACCAACGAAATGAAATCCAACCCTTTCTGAACAACTGAACACAATGAGACAGGACTGCGGAGGAAACCTCATGTTCAACATGTATCTCTCAGGTTCGTCATTTTGTCGGGGAAAGAATTATAGAAATAAGCTGTTATAATTCTTTAAATTCTGCTCTGGGTGTCGGTGTCTTGGTGCGGTGATGCTCCGCTTCCAGGGCACAGCATTGTTCAGCCTTTTCAATCTGAAAGCCCGTCTGCTCTTTTGTCGGAAATCGGAAATCCTTTTTCCTGGACGCGTTTCCTGGCTTCTCGGAGAGAGGAGACCGCAAAGACGACATGCTTCTTCCATTAGACTGCGACTGGACGAGGACACAATTAGGATTTTAATCCATTTTTAACTTTTGTAGACATTTGGCAAAATTTTACATTTTATTTTAGCTTGAATCTTTTACACCGGTCTGCTCAATTTTCCAGCATCTTGAAACAGTTTTATAGCAGCTTCCCTCTACTGAAATACCTGTTTCCTCTGAAAACAGATACAAAGAAATCAATTTATAAAGCTTATATTATCTTCGTCCTTCTTTTTAGGAGATATGGACAGTAATTTCTAGAACATTATGCACATAAGGGAACTTGTTTTCTTAACCCAGCAAAGTCAGATTAGACTATAAGAGCATCCTAAATGGCTTCCTAAAAAAGAGCTTTTATAGGCGACATACAGAACAGGATGGATAAGCAGCTGCTGATACTGACAGTGTGTCTGTTTTGATTTCAGATCCAACAGAAAATCTGTTGAAAGAAGGCAAAGGAACAACCTGGGGTCCAATAAACACAGGAGTACAAAAAGGTAAGAGACTCAATGACCTGCCGGGATACATCATGAATATTGTCAGGGCACAGTTATCTCACATTAACGAGCTTATTCTGTTTTCTGACACAATACAGGACAAATATTGGTGATGAAATAATACCGAAAAAGAAATAATAAAAGAGCTGTTGGATAAAAGCCTCTGAGGCGCACTTGTGATTTTTTGCATAGTAAGAAATCTAACTCGAGGAATCAATAAAGTTTTCCATATTATTGCTAAAAATAGCCTACCACAATTATTAAAGCAAGAATAAAATGCATTACAGATTTATTTAATTTAATCTGTGTTCCTGTTATTGGTTATATTTGGTACCAATTGATAAAAAAACCATCTAAATCCATACACAGTTTGCAACTGCATTTTGTTTATTGGTTACAGATAATAAATATATATATTTTTCTTCAACGGATGATGGTATTTTTATTCTTTCCACCCCAAAATTATTTTATCTATAGTTTTGGCTCATCTACCTTTAGGTTCCAAGCTGAATCATATATCAAGGAAGATTAAATTAAGTATAGCAAAATAAGATCAAATAAAAAAAATAAAAAAAATGAACCAACACAAACCCAAATAGCTAAATAAAGCAGTTTATGACTTTTAACAAAAATCCAAAACATAAATCAATATGAAAAATATTTAACAACCTAATAGATTAACAGCTAGGCGCAGCTACACTGTATTTAAAATAAATATAATATAATAATTAATAAATTCAAGAGTGTCGTTGTTTAAATATGCACTTCATAATATAGACCTCCGATGCATTAGGCTATCCAAGAAATACATTAATATCCTTAAAGAAAACTGGTATGGTGCGCATATGCTTGGAATCGGCCCATAAACTGTACAGTTTAAAACATAACATATCTCAAATGTCATCTATTTTTCCCTTTATTCTGCAATTTGTCTCCAAAAATTGGCACTTTATCGATCAGAAATTCCAGCTAAATGAAGCCAAATAATAACTGAGAATTATTATTTGTAAAATATTATTTGGTAAAATGCCAAGCACCCCAAAACGTTTTGCACAGAATGTACCATCAGTGCCCCAGACATGTGATGTTGTGTACTTAATTTAAGGTATTTTCTAATCTTGCTCTGCGGTGCATTAATCAGTTTATATTTATTTTAACATAAAATCAATGGTCATTGCCCCCAATCCACAGGCAGTGGGCAGATTCAGCTGTGGCAGTTCCTGCTGGAGCTACTCTCTGACAGCACCAACATGTCGTGCATCGCCTGGGAGGGCACCAACGGCGAGTTCAAGCTCATCGACCCGGACGAGGTGGCTCGGCGCTGGGGGGAGCGCAAAAGCAAACCCAACATGAACTATGATAAGCTGAGCCGGGCGCTGCGCTACTATTACGACAAAAACATCATGACCAAAGTCCACGGCAAGCGGTATGCCTACAAGTTTGATTTCCACGGCTTGGCGCAGGTGTGCCAGCCGTCCACCACGGAGCAGGCCATCTACAAATTCCAGGGTAACTTCTCACCTATTCCCTTCTCCGGGATTTCCAAACTGAACCTCGTGGCTCCCGGTGTGGGCCCGTCGGGTTTCTCCTACTGGCCCGGTTCCCCTCCGGCGGCTCTGTATCACAGCCACAACCTCCAGCCTCCAGGGCCCTTTGGCACAGTGTCTCCATCCCACATCAGCTGTGTCAACAACATCAACAGCCTGAGTAACATCAATAGCCATTACAACTGACTCTTAATGCATCTTTTAGACAAACTGGAAACATATAAGACACCGCAGGTAACGCAGCAACGAACCACGAGAGATTAAGAGCACTGAAAGATCGGTTTTGGTAACGTGTAGGTGAAAATACTGGCCTAATTTGGTAAAATAAAAAAATAAAAAAAATTTAGACATAAGCACATAACGATTGTTTCAACAGCATAGGCCATATTTAAAAGCATGTATTCATGTAGATGCTGCTGAGACGACGTTTGTATGTAAGCAAAACGTCTAAAAATGTGTACCTAAACAAACCAAAAGTAATTTAGCCCCCGTTAACCCTTAAACCAAGACACCTTTCACAAGCAAATGTTTAAATCCATCAAGAGCCGCCTATCAAATTACGCACTATGGGTTCGACTTTTACGCGCGGTATTTGAATGATAAGATTAGTTAGTTATTTTAACCCATAATCACCCATAATATGAAATTTCCTCATTTCAGCCACAATCTGTGAAATTAAATCGGAAATCAACAAAAGTTTTCGTGTGGGAGCCCGGTTTTTGAGATGAACAATGTATAGAACATTATTTAAAACAAGATAATGAAATACAGATTGTGTCTGTTTTATACCTATCAGTTCTCATCCCTTTCTGTTCCTTTGCTGTCTCTCATCATCCTTTCTTGACTTCTGTGTACTTTTTACATATAAGTGGGTGTATTTGCTCCAGCGTGGGAGCAAATCACCAGTTATTATTGGACTACTGGCGCCACCTCGTGGTTTGGGCATGGCCTGTAGATTTTTTTATTTTTTACTGAATATGACAACTTGACACAGTCGCCTGAAATATATCGTCACTTTAATCACTGATCAGAAATCAGATTACGCATGAACATGCTCTCCTAAGAATATCAAACGTAACCCACTTGCAATAATAATAAAACCAGTACAGAGGTACGGGGTTGTGATTTGTGTAACGTGGATAGTAACCGAAACTGTGAATTCATGAACTACTCTGTAAATACTGTATTGTAGAGACACCCGCTGGCTATCGCTGCTTTGTAGTGATTTTGGAGTGGATAACATTGCATTCATTCACACAGCTTCATATTGTAGCTATGACAATTGTACCAACGAAGTAAATAAAAACATACTGTTAGGAATACATCTTTCTGTCAGTATGCATTTAAACTATGTGCTGATAACCTTTTGCTTCTTCATATGTTTAGAAAGAAAAAAAAATGTTACAAAAAAACTGTCTGGATGTGTTTATTGCTTCCAAAAGAGAGAGAGAGCGAGAGAGGTAGAATCGTCTTCTGAGTGGAGTACCCCTTTATTTTTGGTACAGTCCTATCACACACACAGCAACACCCTCTTCAGAATTGTTCAGGTGTTAGTGTGTTCATTACAGTCTGAGCTGAAACCATGACATCCTTTCTACAGCCTGAGGTAGGTTACATAATAATATTGTTCACATTTAAAAAAGATTGGGTCTTATTGAAGATGCATTAGTGATGTGCGTAGACTGCAGTTTCTGGTTGTTATTTTGATTTTTAAGCTGTATACCATGTTATTAGCTGTTATTTCTATGCTTTCTGCTGCACTCATTCAAACTCAAGTCAAGCACAAAGTGTAGTAATCTATTTAACTTTTTCCCGAAATATAACTAGGTGAGGGTTAAATTGGACAAAATAGGACATTTTGAGTGAGAGTTGTGTTTTCTGTTAACTTGAGAGAGGGTTTAGCATTGGGCTACTGCTGATTACAGAATGCCAAGGAGAGAAAGACAACTGAAAACCAAGGATCTGCAAAACGCTGCTAGAAACAGCTCTTTATTTGAAGGTTGGATCCAAAGCTGCAACAGCAAGATCAGATGAGGAAGATAAAGGTACCCATTGCATAAAGTCCTCTCATAGACTGCCCTACCATAAGCAAAAAACACCCACGAAAGAAAGGGAAGAAACATTCACTCTTACGTAATACAAGTTTTGCATTGTTATTCACTCCACCAGAGAAATACAGTGAGGATGAAGATATCAGAGACCCGATGCCAGGGAGAGAAATGATAATGAGGTCAGGGAGAGAGATGCTGATGAACATGAAGATCATATTAGGGAGAGAGATGGATGAATATCATATCATAGAGAAAGATGGTGATGTTGATGATGGTGATAGAGGTGATGATGAAGATGCCAGGGAAAGAGATGTCAAACATGTCAGGAAGAGTGATACTGATGATGAAGATAGCAGGGAGAGAGATCATGAACTCTGTAGCAGGTGATGCCAGGATGCCCTTGTGAAACATAGACTTTGAATTTATTCTGTCACCACACCTGTCTTCACTAAAGCACTGAGATCCCCGGACAAGTCAGACACCTAAGGAACCTCAAAGGCACAACTACATCTCCCAGTCACCTACAAAGGACCATTGAGACCAGAGCTTGGAGGAGTATTACTGAGGAAAGGTGTTCTTTACTTATTGACATCCTCTCCAAAGTGGAAGGTGATGAATACCCAGCTCAGAGACAGAGGTGAGGCAGGAAGGCTCTTAGATCTTCTGCTGCTCTCCATTGAGAGAATAAGAGAAGAATTCTACCCCGATTGTGCCATGTTGACTCTCTGACACATAATGAAACAATTTTAATCTTAACTAGTGTTTGGAACTGTTTCACCTTTAATATATCTCATCTTTCTGCATGCTGGTGCTCCACCACATGCAACTGGTGAAACCCATAAGCTACTTGTGGATTGATATTTTAGCATGACCCACTGCTTAAAAGATGACTGAAAGATGTTTTTTGTTTTCACCTCTAAATGCCAATAGCAACACATACTCATCAGACAACAAATCCACAGTGCACTTCACATTTGCTATATTATATGGTTTGCTGATGTTTCTGCTGATGATGATACACCACGCATTGCCACTACTCCTATAGGATGGACTAGTGGCAAAGTGTGGAATCTCCTCTGCCACGTGGGGGCGCCATAATTCTTCCAACATCAAAACACTGTTTATATAACAGGTGATAACAGAGTTGGTCTAATATAGCACACAGAAGCATCTGCAAATAACAGATTAATCCCAAACCTCATTTTATGATGGTACAGATCTACAGAGATTTAAGTATGTCTGGACCGAGCATTATCAGACAGTTGAATGGACATGGGGGTTTTACGCCTATTTCACAGAAAGATGAAAATAGTGCCTCTATAGTGCTATAATAGGTGTACACTTAAAAAAGACAATTGTAACTGAGGTAGTGGTTTTATTAACATGTACTTATTGTTTAACATCAATCAATTGGAAGTGATAAAGTAATAGTAATATGCATTTTATTTAATTGGCACATAGTGCTTCAGTAAAATGATGCAGTGCTGTAAAATCACCCAGCAGTTTAATATGGCATAATTAAGGTCAGCGGAAAACCTGTTGTGTCACTACACAGATGCCAAAGAGCAGTGTGCTAACTATACCAGGGCTTTTCGCTCGATCCTCTGCAGTTCGCACCCAGCCAAAGGGAACCTTTCATGTGTCTAAGACGCTGGCGGGTTTGACAACACGTCTGTATTGTGCAAGCTTGGAATGAGGATGGGTTAGTCATTCCGGATGGAGCAGAGATACAGAAACAGGAAGTGTGCGTATGTGTTTGTGAAAGAAAGAGCGAGAGGGTCCCTCATTCACAACAGCAGTGTTGGTGTGTGTGTCCTGAATATCAATAGGAAAGACTTGAGCTCGCTATTGACAACTGAATCTCTCTCTCACTCTCTCTCTC